GCCTCTTCCATCCTCCCCTCTCCTTGTTTCCTTTCCCATCAGAGTGCATTCCTTTTAGGAATCAAAATGCTCCACGGTCCCCCAATTCCATGGCTCTACAGACTTCATCCCTCAGCCCAGATGATCTTCTGTCTTTGCAATTGATCCCAGTCATCCTTTCGTCTTGGCTTAAATGTCTCCTCTTCCAGGAAGGCTTTCTGGACCCTCCCCTCCAAAAAAGGGACACCTCATTTGTGCCCGTTAACCCTTTCTGATATTTACCTGTCACCTCCTATCAAACATCCACACAGCTAATTACTGAGTCCCAATTCTGTGCCAGGACGGTGCTAGGTACTGGTTTATAGAAACCAACCAACATAGTCCTTGTCCTTGAGGAATTCAGGGTGCAGTAGAGAAGACAGACAGGTCAATTCAAACACTGTGTGCCTAAGTACAATATGAAAAGTATAAATAAAGTATGAAAGGAACATAGAGAGCAAGGTGATTTACTATAACTAGGGGAAAGGGCCACTGAGGTGGGAACATTTGACCTGGGTCCAGAAAGATGAGTGTGACAGGTAAAAAAGCCAGGCACCTCAGGCAGAGGGAATGGGATAATTGCCTTTAACTGGTCTTCTTGTTCCTGTCTTTAGTTTTCTTCTCCTTAGCATGTACCTCTATCAAACACACTATTAATTTCACTTATTTTGTATACTAGAACACAAACTCTATGACAGTAAGGCAGAGATTTTGGTCCTTTCTTCCTTATTATATACTCAGTGCCCAGAATAGTTCCTGATACATAGCAGGCGCTCTAGACATGTTTGCTGGTCAAATAAATGGATAAATAAATGCTAAATGCCAGAAGCCCTGAAAAGAACCTCATCTGCCTGGGGAACAATGACATGGTTCAGAGACTACAGACCTGAATCTAAATTCTGGCTTTGACACCACACTAGAAGCATGACCTCAGTTTCTGTGTCTGTAAAATGGGGATAAAAATTTAGGTTTATTAAGGGATCCCTTGAGAACCAGATTGTGAGTAGGTAAAGGACTTGGCACAGGGTCTAGGATCTTTAGTGCTCACACTCACGAGTGAAATGTCAGACCCTTAGGGGGAGGACTGTGCCTATACTGTTCACAGCTGTAGCTGTTCTGACTCAATGCCAGGTGCATAGTAGGCACTCAATAAACATTTATGAATGAATGACAGTAGATATAAGCATGAGAAGTCCACTGTGTCAAGAGCAAGGTGGGGCCCCCTTTGTGGGCACCATATGTTCCATTTTGCATCTCAAGTCAATGGAGCCATTAGGAGCTTTGCCATCAGAATCCCAGGCAAACACGAAGGAGGAGGGTTTCAGGGGATGCCATGGGGCATAAGGTGAGAGTGTTACCTTCAGAAGGCCCTCAAAGGCTGGCTCTGGAGGAGGCTGGGGGATGACCTGGGATGGAGGGCACGTGCTGGCCTGCTACAAGCCAGGAGACAAGATAAGATGGATGGTTCCACAGCTCACTGAGATGGATAACGAGTTGCACTGAGAGACAGCCTGGGTTACCAGGGCCATCCATCACTCGCTGCACCGTATGTAAATTTCAGATGCCAAGATATATTGGGCCAATTATCAGAGGCTGGGGCAAGGGGCAGTGCCTACAAGAAACAGTTCCCCGCCAAGCTAGCTTTACTGCATTCCATCAGCTGGGCCAGGGTGATAGGCAGTTCACACTGGGGTCAAAGAGCCCAATCTTGAGGTTTGAGTATGGGTGTTGGTGAGGCTGCCAATAACTCTTAACAAACTTCATAAAATAACTGTCCCACAGAGGGCTTATTATATATACTTGGTTCACGCTAACTGACACACAAAAGTTCATTTAATTCTTCCAACAATATCTGGTATACAGTGGATTCTCTAGAAACATCTATTGAGGGAGCAAACCCTATGATGCAGACGCCATTTTACACATGGTACCTGCAGAGACAAAGCCACTTGCCAAGGTCACACAGCTGAAAAGTGTGACCTTGAACCTATGTCTTTCTGGGTTCCTTTCCTCCAGATACTGAGGGGCAACCTTCCCATGATGTGTCTGTTCTCAACAAGGGCTCATGTGGCCTGAAGACCAGGAGCATGGCTGGGCCATCTATCCACCCACCCACCAATTCACTCATTCATTCAACTATTACTGAAATGCCTACGATGTTGCCAGAACAAGCTATACTCAGTTCTTCTCCACATGGAGCGTTCTGTTGCACAGGGAGCAAAGACAATTAAAGCTACAGTCCATCAGGCCCACCTAGCAGCTCCCATAGCTCTGTCTTCCTGAAAATCCAGGCGGCAATGTGCTTTTAGTTGGAGGCAGCCCAAGAGCCGGTGTTTGGCAGGCTGAGCAGGTTCGAACTTTGATGCTCTTGTTTACTGGTTCTATGAGCCTGGGCAGACCCTTGGCCTCTGTAGCTAGGACTCATCATTTTTAAATGGAGCCATGGCATCCCCTCTCTCTCAGCAGTTTGGGCAGGATGAGAGGCCTGTGGCCAGCAGGGGGTTAAGGCTGCAGGAGGTACCTGGATGGGCAGGGTGCTCTGAGACCCAGGGCTGTGTGGTAGGGACATTACTCTTATCAGCACATTCTGTCAGCTTGACCCAAACATTTCTCATCCTCTCTACTGGTGCCACTCTAGGCCAGACCACCGTCATTGCTTGCCTGGGTGACCACAGGAACCTTCTCATTGCCACCCTCACCCTCCTACAGTCTCTTCTCCACCCAGCAGCCACAGGGATCTTGTTAAATGTTAAGTTATATCCTGTCCTCTCTGCTCAAAACCCTTCAATGGTTCCCATCTGATTCAGCATCAAGGCCAAAGAGTTCACCATGACATCAAAGCCCCAAGTGACTTACCTCTAGCCTCACTTCCTTCTATTTCCCCTTTTGCTCACTCTCCTCTCTAGTCATGTGGGGTTCTTGCTGGCTCCTGAGCACACTGAGCATATTCTTGCCACAGGGCCTTTGCAATGGCTACTCTCTCTGCCTAAAATGCCCCCGCCCCCCGAATTTCATGTGGGTTTGCCCTCTGCCTCCTCTGGGTCTTGGCTCATGTATCACCTCACAGGAGCCTGTCCCACCCTATTTATAACAGCAAACACCTTCTCCCTACCACACCTGTCCCTCTCACTGATTATTTCTCTCCATGGCACTTATAATCAACATGTTTATGTAGTTACTTCTCTATTTATTGTAGGTTCCACTGCCCAACCCCTTCCAATGTCAGCTATAGAAGGACATAGACTTTGCCTGTTGGGTCACTGATGTATCTATCTCTGATGTTCACAACATGGCAGGTGCTCAATACTTGTCGAATGAATGAAAGTTCAAATAAATGAACAAGTGAAAGATGGGCTGGCCGACTTCATGCCCCAAACCCCCAAATCCTGAAGTTGCTCCCCACTCAGTGCTTTGCCCCAGATCTCCAGGGCCCCACTCCCACCCCCAAGCATCAGGCAGGACAATAACCCAACTCCTGCTGCACAAGGGACCTGGAGGTGGCTGTCCTTGAGAGAGGATGCCAGTCAAACACCTAATTATCTTGCCACAAACCAGGAGCCACATCCGACCACTTCCTCTTGTCCCTGATTGCTGCTTATATTCTGGAGTTCTCAGAATGTAAAACCTCATGGCACCAAGAAAACAAAGTAGCCCCCAATCTAGTGGGTGTTAGGTAAGAGATCAGGGATCCCTCATGCCCCTCTTAGGGCTAATACATCTGGTCCAGCCGGGTGAGTGGACGGGCAATGACTCTCTATGTCCTTCACCCTTCTCTGTTAAAAAGTGTGTATTGGGGGGAGGCATATCAAATAATCATTCATTCATTCAAGTGTTTATTGAGCACCTCTTTTGTACCAGGCACTTGCTAGGGGCCATAGTGGTGATTACTCATTGCATCATAGGATCTAAGTGTTTACTATGACGTCACTTTCCATGCCTGGGACCATCTCATCTCCTAACCTCTTTTGCAGATGTGGAAAACAAGTCTCAAAGAGATGATGTCACTTATCCATGATCAGTCAGACAAAATCAGAGTTGGGTCCACTCTTCTCCAAACCACTGCACCATCTCCAATTTGTGCCATTTTCATCATCTTAAATCCATTCATCTGAGCAGCCTCCTTTTGAGCCGGAGGGTACTGGGAGTGGGAGGAAGGTCTGTGGGAACCCCAAAAAGCTCTGGAAAAATGCATTGGGGTACAGAGCCAAGAGGGTGACAGATGTGCAATCTAGGTGAGGAAGGAAGCATTTATTGAGCATCCGCTATGTGCCAGGTGGGGCTCTAGGAGCCTCATGCAGCTCAGTGGTGGAGATGACAGCCACACAAATATGCAGGCATTGTCCTGAGGGAAACACTGGGAGAGCTGCAGCTAACAGAATGCGGCATGGACTTCTGGGCGAAGGCATACGAGGAGGAAGGACCCTTGGGAAAATCGTGGAGGGTGGAAAACCCAGGCTGTGCTGGGGAGTGGCTGACCACCCGCATGCATACTGGGGACTCCATGGGGGTTGGGTCAGAAAGCCATGAGACCTAGGCAAGAAGCAACTGGGAGCCCAAAACCTCAATTAACAGTCTAACCGGCTGCATCCTGTCCAAGGTGCAGATCTTATTTCACACTAAGCTGAGTTGGGTCCTAATATACAATCCTTCCACTTCCAGAAAATAAAGAACAAAAGGGGGAGCTGAGAGAGAAAGAGGAAAAACAACTATTTTGAACACTATCCCTTTTTATTTATCTATATTTTATTATAATGCTTATCATCAACATTAATGTAAAATTCCTACTGGGATGATTTTACTGAAACTGGACCCTAGATGGCCTTCTTGTAAGTAAAGTGATGGACAGGGATGGGCCAGGCACTGACCGGACTGGGAAAGTTCAAAGACGAGACTAGGACCCTGACTGCAAGAGGGGTGACCTCTCCTCTCCCCAAACCACAAAAGGCGATTTCCAAAACAACACAGATAAGACCTCTCTCTCCTAGACCTGAGGAGATTTTTACCTGTGTACTTTGGAGGCATAACAGAATTTCCCCCTACCTACAGACACACAGTCGGTACAGAATTGGGTTTTTACTGTATTAACTGACTAAGAGAAAACCCAAGAACGACAGACTGGCCTATTCTAGACCAGGGACAGTGGACTCTGTTCCCTTCTCCCCGCCCACCTCCATCTCCTTTCTTTCTCCAGAGCCCAAAAAGGCCCAGGACAGAGGACGCTCATTTTCCTAACACTGGACCTAGATGAAAGCTTAAGAGTGTTGGCTGGTTTTGAATCCTGCCTCTGCCACTCTCCAGCTGGGAGATCCTAATACTTAAGCCTCAATTTCCTGATCTGTAAAGTGGGGATAATGCTTTGTGAGCATCATTGGGGGTTGGACATCAAGCTGAGCTACCTAGAAGCAGTACTGAGGAGCGGGGCAGAAGTGCTGGAATTCTAGTGGCCATGCAGGCCTGGGCTCAAATCTTGCCTGCTGCACTTGCCAGTTTTGACCCAGGCAAGTCATCGAACCTCTCTGAGCTGTGTCCTTACCTGTACTATGAGAATACTACTACTAAGTGAATCCCAGTCATGTCTCACTCTTAAGTATCTCTCATTGTCCAGAAATAATAACCGCTCCATGGCTACCTTGTCTAAGCTGAAATCATTCCCTACCGGTGATACTTCCAGGGCCTCCTCCTTTCTCTCCTGGCTCCCACCCTTAACCTGCAATAGTCAAATTCTCATACGGCAGCTGGAGTGAGCTGTTCAAAATGTCAATTAGTTCTTATCTCTCCCTGGCCTGAAACTTTTCCATAATATATTTGCCATGGTCTTGGATTAAAATCCAGACTTCTCACTAGGGTCTACAGGATCCAGCCACTGCTGAAGGCTTCAGCTTTTGGGGTGGGGGGCATCTCTCCCCAACACTATGCACAGGCTTTTAGTCCCTCAATACACCAGCCTCTTTCCCACCTTGGGGCATTTGCACAGGTAGTTCCCTTTGCCTGCAATCCCTTCCCTTCACTTCAACTCTGGCACCTTCCTAGTGGGATCCTCCCTGTCCCCCACACCCCCAAACTCTAAAGTAGATCCACCTCCTCCTTGTTCCTTTTTTACAGAGCATTCATCATCATCTGCAAAGCTAAACTTATTTGCATGTTTAATTGTTGGCTTCCACTCCAAGACTAAAAGCTCCAGAATGGCAGGACTTGTGTCTTGTTCTGTGTTCCCAGCACCTAGGTGTACCTGGCATGTAGTCAAAGCTTAACAGATACTTTTTAAATGAGTATTCACCTCACAGAGTTTCTTTGCACATCGAATAAATATAATGAATATGAAAAGACTTTGATAGCTACAAACCGTTTCACACAAATAAAACAAAAATAATTCTGTAAGAATGGAAATATCTTACTTTGGGGCCTAGAGGTGGTAAAGAAAGAGTGAGAAGAACAAGAGGAAAAAGGAAGAGAAAAGCAAGGGTGGAGGAAGATTAATGATATGGAACTAGTGTGTTCCCCAAGACAAACAGGCCTGGGGGGGCACACTGCTGCCTGAGATGTTAGCGCTTTCTAATATTTTAAGGCCTGGGAGAATTACTTGGATGCAAATCCATTCGCATTTTAGGGCCATATCTCTCACTGTGTAAACCTTAGCTGCAGATCTGGTTGGGGCAGGTAGTGGCAGGTGGGTCTGGCCTGGCTGACCCAGCCAAAGCTTATCCATTCCACATCCGTCTTGGGTGCCTGTGCACTGTAGTCAAGGCCCTGCTGAGATGAACCACTTGTTCAAGAAGGGGGAAGCCATCTCTGCCCTCACATAAAACAGGCCATTGTTGGTACTGAATCTGGTGTTGTTTTCAAACCACATACTTTCTAAGGACAGTGTCTGTTGATCTTTCAAGGAACCCCAGTGCTGCTTATAGCCTGTTTATCGACAAGCCAGTGGCATTCATTCATTCATTCATTCATTCATTCACTCGTCAAACAAGCATTTGAGTGCCTATTCTGTGTCAGGTGCTATTCCAGGTGCTGGGGATCCAGCAGTGGTGCAACAGACAAGGTCATTGCCTGTGTAGTGTTGACAGCCTAGCATCTTAGTTTTCACAGATGAGGGCATTCATACAGCCCTGGGACCAGGCAGAGTAACAACAAAAAACATAACAGTAACAGAAGCTGATACTTTTCTGCATGTACTAAGTGACAGACACCATGCTAACGAATTTATAGTCATTCTTCTCTGAGCCTTACAACAGTCCTTCAAGAATGATGTTATCACTCCATGTTTTTTCCATATGAGGAAACCGAGGCTCAGAGAGGACAGGTCACCTGTCCCAGGTCACAGACTTGGTAAATGACAGGGCTGGGACTTCAACCTTGGTCTCCTGGCTCCAGAGCTCATCCATGCTCTTTTCCTGACCCTACAGAACACCATGACCTGAATTCCCAGAGCACCTTCTCTCTCCATCCCGAGGCACTATGTACTATCCAGATGTGACAGTCCAGCATACATGCAGGCCTGTAATCCTGGAGCCCCACGCTTACTCCTGCTATCGGTGATCAAAAAAGCTGAACTCTGATGAATCCTCAGAAAGATTCTTCGAGGACCTAGAACATACTGAGCAGTGATCTCAAACTTCAAGTACTATATCATCCAATAAGGTAATCACTTGCCTTATGTAATTATTTAAACTTAGTACATCTAAATTAATTTAAATAAAATACAATTATAAATACAGTTCCTCAGTCTCACAAACCT